CTGCGCTAAACCCTCCCGGATGTTTCAGGATTTGCTAGATCTGCTGGAGAGGGGCTAGGGGTAGGGATGGGAAGTGCTCTTGCTAGATTTAAAAAGGACTGGTAAGTCTGGCATCTCTTGCTGTTGACCCTATGAAACTGGCAGTAGAGCTGTGGCTTTTCGAGGAAGGGGCCTGGAATCTCAAGGACTAGGTTGTTGGTCAGGAGGCTGGAGTTAAGGGAGAGAGGAACAGTAGAGGACTCGCCCTTCACTGCCTACAGCTATAAACTAGCCACATCCAGACTCTTGAGTCCAGTTCTCATCCAACATTGTGGGGGAGGGAAGTTCTCACACAAAACTCTTTCCCCGACCGTGCCCTTTTCTTTCTCGAAGAGAGTGGAAGACTCCACGTGGAACAAGAAGGATGGAGAATGCCTGCGTGGCCGTAGCCCTGAAAGTGTTGCACCCCTGCCCCATCTCTAGATGTTATCAGTGACAAACTAGAAAGCTTCCAGAGCAGAGCCCCTAAGAATTGGGGGAACGCAGAGAGGAGGCATGCAACCCTTTACAGTGAGGAGGACAGAAGCTGCCTGTTAAAGGCCTTGGGATGCAGAACTCTCCATCCTTTGTAAAGTCCAATCTGGTCCCTGGAAATCCGGTGCCAGCTCCTTAGCCAGCAGCCACCAGGAGGCTCTGAGCATCCAGTCCTTCACACTCCTACCTCAGAAGACTTCTATCTGACTTGAAATCCTGACTTGAGGTGCCTTGACACTCAAAGAGCAGCTTGTCCTGCCAGGAATTCTCCCAGGTCCAGTCAAGTGGGTGAAAGACGGCAGTCATTGTCTTCAAGAGCCTGGGCAACCGGAGGGGCCACAAGTGTAGGCTGTGATCCTAGTTGGCTTTCTGAATCAAAGTGGGTTGACCAGCTCCTAAAGAGTTCAGGGCCGATAACTATCTTAATTCAACCTGCTGTAAACAGACAAATCACTTCTTGCTTTTGCACAGAGTACTTGGGGGGATGGTGGATGGTCTGGCAAAGACCAGACTTGAGGGAGGGATGGACCTTTAAAAAAAAGAAAAAGTTCAAATGAGGCAAAACCAGGAAAAGAACAAAAGTGGATTTTCTGTGTCCCCACAAAACAGATAACAGGGAGTTATGAAGGACAGCCAGGGTTCCCGCTGCAGTAGGGAGGCTCTGCACCTAAGTCCAGAGGAGGGAACCAGCAGTGGAACAGCAGAAAGATATATTTGTTGAGGAGACAGAGGTCCTCACCACTGAGGTGCCAGGTTAGCCTGACTAGGCCCTGCACTTTTCTTCTTAACTTGCCAGTTCCTCAAATCCACACAGCCAGTGAGAGGATACCTCCTTCCTCAAATGGCCAATGCGGCGGATAAAGATAACTCACACAGAGCCCCGTGGACACACCCACAGTAGTGGTAGTGGGTGCTGCAGAAAATGAGACAATTGGAGGTGATGGGTGCTAGCAGGAGCCTGGTGGAGAGCCAATGCCAGGACAAGTTGTTTGCAGGAACCCTGCTTGAAAGCCAGAAGAAGAGAGACACTTTCACCTGAGCTGCAGGGTGTGCTGGTGTTTGTAGTGGAGCATCAGTGGCTGGAAATCTTCAAAAGGGTGAGAAGCTGGGTACCCCTGTGTTGCTGGCCCCTGGATACAGGAAAGGGAGAGTTGGCTGAGGTCAGCAGGGATGCCTCTTTCTACCTGTAGTGTGAAAAGGGATGGGGGTATCTCTGAATGACCATACAGCTCTGGACTTGACCTGGCTGGGGCAACCCTCCACAGACTTTAGGTCTCCCAGCCTAAAACCACTGGAACAAAGAAACCCCATGAATTTCCTAGCTAACAGCAGAAAGGAAAAATTCCCCATGTATAGTGAAAACACAGGAGATAAGAGGCACAGGTTTGGGTACATGCCTGGTAACTTCAGGAGCCTGCACTTTGCCCCTGGAAAACTTGTATAACATTTCTTTTCTCTATCTACTTAGCATCTGCTCATTAATAATGCAGCGCCCCAAATGCTCTTTGTTTTGCTACACAGGCATCTGTAGACATAAACTACGCTGCCTTTGAGGAGGAATTTTAGCACAACAGATTTCCAACTATTTAAAAACCCACCTTTAACCCCCATTTGAAAAAGAAGAGAAACAAAACAAACAAGACCCCACATGCTTAGCTTCAAAGATGTTTGTTTGGGTGGATACAACTCCAAAGACACTAGTTAATTGGCTATAGGCAATTCTTATACAAGGAAAACCTGCATAAAGTCTTCTCTACTTTAAAAATCAAGACGAGAAAATACCTAATGTTGGAAAAAAACATGCTTAGAATGGTTTTAGTAAAAAAAATTAAATTGTGCAATGACAGAACTTGTATTAAAACTAAGTATCACTAAAATCTATGAGTCTGAAATCGGCGAAAATCCTTTAAAACATGAACTGTTAGGGAAACTGTGCAGTTTTTGTTCCCTATCATAAAATGTATCCTCCCTACTCCTCTATTTTTCTTGTGTGGTTTTTCTCTTCTGAAATAACCAGAGTTCCCCTTTCAGAACTCTCCACTCTGGAGAGCAATCATCTTTGCTCTGTACAGAAAGGGCTCTGAAAACAAGCATTTCTCCCCATGCACACTCAAACACACGGAATGCGGTTACCCATTATTTTGAAAATGGAGAGAGGAGAGGGGGGTGGAGGCTGGGCATGGTTAGACAGTACGTGTACCAGGCACCAGAAATGAACCAGTCACTACTGCTGTTGAGTCTGTAGGATCACAGGAAAAGTGGTCACAGAGTGCCACAATTTTTGGGTGTCTGTGGTCTCTGATCCCAAAGACTCCGATTTGGTTGGGGCGTCCAGAGCTCGCTCCTGTTATAATTGGGGTGGGAACTAAGCAGACTCGCACCTTTCTGAGTCAGTGTTTGCTTTCAATAGCCAGTTCCCTGTGTATGTGTTTGTGTATGTGTGTGACTGAGGGTGTGGGTAGGGGTGGGGGACAGAATTAGATTTATTAAAACCACAGCAGCAACAACAAAAACCCCGTCCTAACAAAATTCTCTAAGATATTTATGGGGGTTCTCATGTCTTGCTGTAACTCCAAAAAGGTGCCAGATGATGGCTAGCTCTGCTGGGCTTGCCCTTCTCAGGAGGGAAGGCACCGAAGGTAAGAGGGCTGAGTCCTGAGATGATGGAGGACTTTAATCTGGATGTCAAGCCTTAATGGGCTAAGAAGCTGGTGTCTGCGGAAGAGGGCTTCCTGCCACCCTGGGAAAAGTGAAAACTCAAGTCATGGAAGTTTGCTATGTCCCTAACAGGGTACACTGACTAGCACCTCATCAGCTTCTCACTTGGTCCCAGTAAGTGCCTAGGACTTTGTTTGCTAGCTGCAAACGATGTCCCGCCCTATGTGGGCGGGTCAAGTTTAGCACACCGGGAATCCTCGTGTGCTACAGCAAATGCTTGCCTGGCATCCCAAAGCCTGAGCTCTCCAGCCTTGAGCTAGTTAGTGATAGAGCCAGTCGGTCTGGCAGGAATTAGGGATGAAGGTTTAAAGACATGTCTGATGCTTTTTAAGTATAGTTATCACTAGGGAGTAACTGCAGGCAAGGATGTTTTGTGTGCCTGGTCGCATTTTGGTGTTGAGAGGTCTGATGTTTGCCTTGGTGGGGAGCAGGGGGACCATACCTGCTCCGCACCTCATTAACCTGAGGATTCTAGGCGCTGAAGAAAGGCTAGCTCCAGCCAGCTCAGCCGGTTTCTGCCTCAGCCCATGTGCTGGCATTTTAGGGTGACATCGCCTCTACTCTGGGCAGGGCCCCCTGGCAGTGATCCCATCTTGCTGGTGGAGGGACCATGACAACTAGCCTTGGCCTTTATTTCTTCGCTTTGGGCCGGAACTACTCGGCTTACATTAATGTTTCCCAAAGAAAAATAGCGCTGCCCGCGCAGCCCCAAGATGGGGCCAAGTGAACAAGGGGGTTCCTTTGGCCGTTTCTCCCCCCTCCTGCCTTGTCAAATTCCACCATTTAGAGTAGATTTCTACACTTGGACCACATTAACGGGCCAGCCATTTCCATGCTGCACTGCAGCAGAAGGAAAACTACCTTTTAAGACACTGAGACAGAACGATGGATTCCGGGAGCCCTGGCATGGGAGGGAATTTGTCCTGTGTCGCCAGGGGTGCCCTGGACTTCCCACCTGGTGACCCAGAGCCGGACATGAAACCTTCCTCCAAAGATTCTCCCAGCTCTGAAACCTGTCTTGTCACTAACCTTCTTCTAGGAAGCAGAGCCCACACCAGACTTTCATCTCTGTCACCTAGGATCTCAGCCAGGGCTTTGGCACAGTGGACGGCTCCGAACTCCAACTCCCAGACACCTCGGCAGCTCAGCTCCCATGAGCTAGTTGCCCACCTCCCTTTCCCAACACTTTGCCTCCTAAGGGCTCATGTCTGGCCAGGCCTCAGAAGCATGTTCCTCTGAGGTTCTTGAGAGAATCCCAGCACCTCTTAGCTGTCTGTCACCTTACACTGCCCACACCTTGACCACTAGAGAGAGCTTTCATCTTTGCTCAGCACGGGTTGGGGTTGATCTCTTGGGTTGTGATGCCAACGAGGAAGCTGGATGATAACAAAATAAAAGTCTCCTGGCCCTGAGCTCTGGTCAGTCCCCACAGTGGTCTGAGAAAAGACTGAAGTCATCCTAGTGGACTTTCTCTTCCTTCCAGGTTCCCTTGCACCCCAACCTCTGGTCCCTGGTCCACTTGACTGACTGGATTTGCAATCTAGCAGCCGGCATATGCTTTTAAAATGCTGGTTGCCTAAATTTCCAAGGACAGTCTAAGGCGGAATTGGTTTCAGGCATGAAACAGGCATCCTTACATCCTTAGAAAGAAATTACACCATCCCCACCCTACCTAGAAGGGAAGCATTTGGCTTTTTGTTGTTGTTGTTGTTCTCATGCATGGCAAATAATATAGAGTCCCTGTCCTCGAGGACTCAGCTAATGTCTGCCTATCTGCTCTGAGAAGGATGGTCAGGTAGCAGACATTTTCAATGGGCTTGATCTCAATCCCCATAGGAAGCATATGATAGTGAGCTGTATTAACACATTGCATAGGCGTTATTGTTGGAATTAAAACAATAAATAGGACATGAAGTTTGGTCTGGATAGGGAGATGGGGGACCTCGGAGGAGCTGAGGTGATATCAAAGAGTTTGTGTAAAATTCTCAAAGAATTAATACAAAATGAAAATACTTGTCATTAAGAAAATAAACATGCTGGGTGATGTGGAGCACACCTTTAATCCCAGCACTGGGGATGCAGAGGCAGGTGGATCTCTGTAAGTTCAAGGCCACCTGGTCTACAAAGTAAGTTTCAGGAAAGCAGAGCCACACAGAGAAACCCTGTCTTAAAACTTGCACCCCTCCCCCACCTGCCCCCAAAAGAAAACAAACATCAGCAAAATGCTGGTGAAGACGGATAGGAAAGAACTCTTACATGACCAGTGGGAATGTAAACTGGGCCAACCATTATGGAAATCAGTATGGTGGATCCTCAAAGACCAAAGGAGCACTACCCTCTGACACGGCTAGACCACATCTGGCTATATACCCGAAAGACTCTCAGTCACATACTAGACAGATACGTGCATGTCTAATTTACTGCATCACTATCCCTAAGAGGCAAGCATTGCAAACGGCATGTCTATTCACAAAGAGGTAGAGACGGTGTTGTAAGTGCATGCACAGTGAGGTTTTATTCAGCCATAGAGAACAAAGTTCTGTTGTTTGCTAGAAAATGGATACAACTGGAGACCATCAGATTAGGTGAAACAAACCAAACTCAGACAAATACTTCATACGTTCTCTTATGTGTGGCGCCTCAGTTGTACACAGACGCACAAATCCACTTAAAAATGAAATGAAAGCAGAAGGAAAGAAGCAGACCAGTGGAAGGGGTAAAGGGAAACGGAGATGAAGGGGAGGGTATTGAGGGGTGATGGTAAAAGCACATGATATAATTGAAAGAAACTGTCTTTATACCACTGTGTGCAATGAATATGGCCAATTACAAAACAAGACAAAGCACAAACATCAATCCCACATTAATAGCTCTAATTTTAAAGAATCATATGACCATCTCTGTAAAAGGACTATAAAAGCTTTCCACAGAGGTAGAGAGATGGCTTAGTGTTTAAGAGCACTCGGGGTTCTTGCAGAGGACTTGAGTTCAGTTCCCAGCACCCACATAATGGCTCATAGCCAAATGTAGCACCAGTTCCAGAGGATCCAACACTTTCTTCTGGTATCTTCTGGCAACTGGTATATTCATACATACATGCACATGCAAATTAAATAAATATTTTATAAGAGTATTTGACAAAGTCAACATAAGGGAATCAAGTCATGGTGGCTCACACCTATAGCATTCAGGAGGCTGAGACGGGAGAATAGCTGTGAGTTTAAGGTCTGTAGGAGTTACATACTGAGTTCTAGGCTAATCTGGGTTTACAGAGACCCTGTGTCAAAAAACCTGAAAACAGTGGAATGGTGGTTGGTGCATGTCTTTAATCCCAGAATTCAGGAGGCATAGGTAGGCAGATCTCTGAGTTCGAAGCCAACCTAGTATTCTGAGCAAGTTCTAGGGCACCCAGGTCTACACAGTAAAACTCAGTCTTGAAAAACAAACAAACAAAAATCTAAAACAACAACAAAAAGATTCAGGTACCATATAGTTCCTTCAGTGTTCTGAGAGAGCAAGGAAAAAGCATGAAAACAGTGCCCCGTCGTGGTTCAATGTTGTACTACACCAAATATCAACTGTCAACTCCCCCCTTACTACAAAGTAACCAGAGAAACATTACCTTAGCATATATAGAAATTAATATTTTATTTTTTATTAAAGAAAATTAAAAAAACAATTTTAGTAAAAGCACTTAAAATAACCTCACAAATTAAAAGTCAACCCTACAGCATGAATTATTTTCCAGCTCCAAATATCATCATTAATCAAGAAACAGTTAAAGGAGCTAGGAATTATGGTATGTAGCTAACCACAGACCATGGAACATAGAGGCAGAAGGGTCAGAATTTCAAAGCTATTCTGGCCACACAGCAAATTCAAGACCATCCTCGGCTACATGGGACTCTGTCTCAAAAGAGAATTTCCATTTCAAGGAATGTTTGCTGCAGCTCTTGGCAGGAGCACACCCCTCTCCTGATACCAAAACTTCCAGGCCAGCAGAAGGTAAAGTTGTGGAGACAGGAAGCAAAAACATTCTTAGCCGTTCACTAGGGGTAATGTTGAGCAGAAATATTCCCCCTCTCCACCCTCCCCTCGATTCCTGGACCCATGGATCCTGCCGTGGTACCATTTATTAGACACTGATTCAGGGCATGTACTGTCTTCTGGCGAACCTTACCCCAGCCTTCAAGATGTTGCCACCACATTGGTGCTGTAACTGCGTCTTGGAAAGACCAAATGCAATTCCATCTTTCTATCAT